CTCTCAAACAGGGGAAGGGCAGTGATGGGCTGCTGGTAGTACACTCAGTGTACGGGGGTTGGGTACCCCTTGAACGTTTGATGAGTTCTTGGGTGTTGATACGCCGCCGGAACGTCGCTTGGCATAGTGACATTCGACTGCACTCTATGCCAGAGTGGCGGTCGTGGGCTGATCCTTGGTGGACTAGCCTTTGGTACGGTGAAGGAAGTACCAATGGTCCTTAACGGACCTGAACGTTTGGGTTCGATGAACTCGTGCACCGCAGTGTCGCTCGCAGGTTCTCGCCATGAACAACATGGCTGTGCCGAACATAAGGCACAGCCCGGACTTTGGTGTGGCAAGGCTGAGAAGTGCCTACCTGTCCAGGTCTATGACGGAGCATTGGTGAGTCATGTTCCTCCCTCCGCCATGACTGGAGCGTCTGATACAGACCACCAGGACGCAGAAGCGTCACGAAGCTGTCAACGCGCCGACAGATCTTCTTACAGCAACACCATGCTCCTCTGCGGCCATGCCACGGGCGTGGGTCTTTTCCCGGGCGTGTGGACCTGCTACACCAGCAGCGTCCAACGCCGAAGGTCGTCGCGCCGTACGGGCTTCGACAGTGGTTATGCCTTTAAGCGCTAACCAGGTGGGTAACTTAGGACCACACGTTCGCCCAGACCTTAACTGAAGAGGAAGGCGCTGAATGCGCTTTCTGCGTGGATAACACAGTACCACACGCAGTCGCCCAGACTATAACCGAAGGGGAAGGCATCGTCCATGCTTCCTGTGCGGGTAACACAGTGCCACACGAGGTCTCGAGTGCCTCTTATGTCGTCAACGAGACATCACGACGTGGGTATCAAAGTGCCACGTCACGTCAGCCGCCGCATGTCGGGTCTGTTCCTTGTTCAGGCCGACGTCGCTTCAAGCGACTCGGAGTCCAGGACCCAGACTCCTCCGACTCGACCAGCTCTGGCCGGTGTGTGTGCTGGGTCTGCCACGTCAGCTGATCCCACCTTAGCCCTCCGTCCAGTGGCGCCTCACAATCTCAGCGAGGGCCGTCGCGACGTATGCGCTTCGGCAGTGGTGGTGCCGAAGCCCCTTCACCAGATGGGTAAGCTGATTAAGGAGACCGACATTCGGCGCTCCGAGCGTGGGTAACAAAGTCCCACGCAAGGTCACTCAGACCCTTAACTGATAAGGAAGTCGTGTATGCGCTTCCGGTGTGGGTAACAGAGTTCCACTCCCAAAGGGTAGCATAGCTCCGCACACAGAGCCATTGGCTCGAGGCACGAGGTTGTCTTGGCCTCGCCAGACGTGAGCAACTCGCTCGACTTCAAGTCGCGCAGACTCAAACGACACGGCCGACGCGGTCGTCCATACCGACGCAGTGCACAGGGCGGAGAGCCGTCGCGCCTGCCAGTGGCTATTAGAAGCCACGAGAGACTCAGTAGGTTTGAGGTTAAGTGGGGAAGAGGCTCGAAAATACCTTTCCTCCCTGACTTTCCAAGAGGAAGATAGCCGTCGTGCTGCCAGTGGCTATCACAAGCCACGAGAGACTCAATAGTCTCAAGTGTAAGTGGGGGAGAGGCTCGAAAATACCTTTCCTTCCTGGTCTAGAGGTAAGACCAAGTTTCTTACGGAACCAGGCGTCGATGTACATCGACTGCGGGCTGGAGGCGAGCAGCCGGACTAGAGCTGCGGTAGCTCTAGCCGAACAAGACATAGTGGCGAAGAAAGCCACTGGCGCAAGGTTCCTCGGAATTGCTGAGCGAATCAGCATAGTTGGGATTGCAAGCAACCACACACGAGACGAAGCGCGGACCTAGTGCAATCAATGCACTGGTCCCTTGGTCATGAACGACCTGTCGAGTAGGGTGAACGGAACGTCTCACCCGCCGACAAAGCGGTTGTGGTACGTGATGTACGCAACGCGCCGGGTATAATGGGCCGTGGAGCCATAACCCAAGTGTGGTGCACGAGTGCACACACAACTGACCAGGTGGTGGTCGAGGCAAAGCACGCGGTCGTAACTGGTGCCGCACCGAGCATGACACCGTGGTGATGACAGCTTGCCTCACCATGAGTTGGTACCCGTGATTACTCGGTGTCAATGCCAGACACCAACGCCGCAGTGGCATGGTGGTGAGTATGCCCCACCACGGTCGAGTACCATCAAGGTACATGGTGGCTGTGACAGACACTGGTATAGGTGCAAAGGATATGCATCATACCACGACCCGATGCGCGCTGGGCGTATACGCTGTGAGTCAACGCACGCTCCATGCATCGGCACTGGATGCTGTCGAGCAGCGGCCGGGAGCTCCACGTAATGAACTCGTCGTGCATGACACACATGAAGTGTACGGAGCACTTATGATAGCTGTGGTACGTGTCGTACACTGCGTACATCGTGTAAGGGCCCATGGACCTGTACACTGTGCTTGCACATGCGTCGTGCATGATGTGAGCACTGGCCATGAATGTATTCAGGTGACAGCAGTGGG